ATAAATTGTGTTCTTGTTTCTTTTTTCATCTTGCTCTGGTAGTTGTCGGAGCAATCCAGCTTTCGGAGCAATTTGTAGAAGACATTGGGAGTGTTATCTCGATTTTACCTTGTCCCTTCTGGGATCCGCAATGGGACACTGTTTTTGCTAACGATTTTTCCTGAGCGATTTTATTTTTTCGGATGAAGAGACACAGCTGCTGCCACTTTGCCACCAGGTCGCACTAAATCTTCATCGGAAGGAATCGTTTTTCCCTGGACAAATGAGATGTGAGAAATTTTAATTAATTAGTGGCGCTAAACTTGACTACGCTGGTGGGTCATTAGCCTGAACTTTTTATTCTATAGGTACTGTGGGAGCATAAACGTTGGTCAAGGCTCAATGTTGTTATGAATGATTCTATAAATGATTGACAGCCAACCACCCTGCATGCCATGCCATGAATGAAAATTTAACCCACATTTTCAACATCCTGTCCAAGCAAGCTTCCCATGCATCATTTTTCATTTCTTCCGCATGAAGTACCCCCACTTTGGTCTCTGTCGCGGCCATGACGTTTGCGCTTTGTCATGGAACATAAAATTTCTGTTTTACATCCATTATTATTGTTCTTCATGAAATATTAAGCATCGGCACCGCAATAAAACGTCGATCAATAGCATCAATTTCCTGCATCACTCTCGCCGTCGTCATCGTCAGCAGTGCTGTACAGAACATAACAGAACGACAACGCTGGCTGTCACGAATCAACAGTAGCAGCATGCTATAGGGTACAGAGCTACTTGGGCCTAATAGCAAATTCACAAAAAAAAAAAAACAAAAGAAGCGCTCCGATCGATCTTTCCATTCCATTTTTATCTTCCTCCATAGGCCAAAGTGAATCCGTAGGCTAAGTTTGGAATCAAGTGTTCGATTTATAACAATATCGCAACAATTTGTGATTCTTTATCAAATCCTAAGGTAAACAAAATTGGAAGTCATTTATAGAAGAAACACAGACAGACATAACATACTGAATATTTCTCACAGTAAAACATCGTTGCTAAAACCTTACCACCATCTGTTCAGTACACTATGGTGGGCAGTACGCTGAACAGATGGAGGTAGTGTGTAAACGTCAAACGCAGGGGAATCGAACATGAGCGCCACAGGTGGCAGTACTACCAACTATTATACTTTTGAATCTACCGTTGTTCGATGAAGTTATGCGAGAGTTATGTCTGTTTGTCTGTGGTAGAAACATTCCATCTTGTTTTAAAATGCTTTCGAAAAGAGTTTGTGGTGTGCTCAGTAGGCCCAACCAGTCTTGTAAGCGGTCACGGTAGTCGATACATTTTCTGTGATAATCAACTGCCTTTGCCTCCGACACTTGAAAACCAAGCTATCATAGTACACTGAAGTTTTTTTTTTGCCCGGTTTTTTTACGCGGTTTTGACGTAGGACTACGTCTGTGATTTCTATATGGGGGTACACTTTGTGAAAACCGAAAATGGAACATGTAACAAATTATGAAAGATTTTGAACGTTAATAACTCAGCTGCCCCTGGTCCAATTTCAATAACTTTATCACCAATCGATCAGAAATATGGCTACGCATCGATAACAATGCTTCCGAATGTTGATTTTCAACAAGAAACTGTTGAAAAACTGGTAAATGTCCAGCATTATCCAAAAGCGTCAAATTAACTAACAAATCCACCAATTACCTACATGCATATGCTGCTTCCCCAGCACAGTCGTCAGAGAGTAGTAAATAGACGAAACAAGTCGAAGTGGCATTTGCCTCCGATCCTCTGGCACGTGCGAATAGGGAGGATGGAATTGCGTAATATTTTGCACACTCATCGCCATATTCAGAACCACACGCTCCCAGCGACCACACAAAATGCTCTCCAGAGTTGTAATCTTGTAGCCAAATTTGGAAACAGGGGATACACTCAAAAAATATATCACATATGTAATGCATGAAATCCATGCGAATTTCACATAGCTTTCCAAAAAAAAGTTGACGACAACCTAAAGAAACCGCTTATGGACTTTGTCGTTCAGTTTTTTCCTGGATTTTTTTGTTAAATAAGCTAGAATTAAATAAAAAAGATTTTTTTTTCTAATACATTTCTAGATAGAGCTGGAATTAGGGCGTAACAGCCTTTTTAAACAAAGACTTCTTTCTTTGATTTCTCGGGATTTAAGGCACGCCTACACAAACCAACAAATCCATCGGGTTGGAGAAGTCTTCCTCTACTCGATGGTGATGTCGATTTACCAGCGAGAGCCATGGCTTCCGAGAAATCATCGAGAGAAGTCATTGTTTACAAAAGCTGTTACGCCCTAATTCCAGCTCTATCTAGATTTTTTAACCACTTTACTACCAATCCCCAGAGAGCCAAAACATTTAAATTTGAAAGAGAAAATTCACTTTCAGGATCTCAATATCTCAACATTCCATATATTTTGATGACACTCTGTAACTTTTGGTGGGGGATGGAGGTCCCTCCCATTTTGCATATTCTGCATAAAAAATACATAAAAATTCCCTCCCTTTTAACATATTCTGCAAGAAAATACTATTTATCAAAAATTTCTAGGAAGAAACTGATCGATAATGAATGATTTCTATTGACTTATTTTGACCATAATATGCATCCAAAGCGTTCCATCCACTTTTCCAAATTTCTAACTTACCATCAATGGAACAGCGCCATCAATGAGAATAAATAGCCTTGACTTAATGGTGAAAACTATTTTTGTAGTTCTTTAAAAATTCTACTCTAACTCTTTTCTTAAATGAACTTGGTGGCCCTGAAAAGGGCCGTTTTGTTACTTGGTTGTTGGTGATAATGATGCGTAGACGACATTCATGGCCGGGACTGTCTGCTCTTGGCGTGTTCAGTGACGGCATCACGGAACACATTTTCTCGGCACACCTTCAGCAAACCTACCATCGGCCTTTTTCAGGGCCACCAACATTTTCCAAAAGAGTTAATTTTCTTAATTTGTCCCAACTAAAATTCATATCAAAAGGTTCTTTTCAGGGCAATCATAGCCATACTAAAGAGTATAAACAGAGAGAACCCTGCTAAAATTCCTATTCCTAGAAAAAACACAAGCTTCTGCTGCAGTTAACAAAAATATTTATTATATCATACCACGTAGTCCAACGTCATCATTGCGTACAACCCAATTGGGCTGTCCCTTGTAGTTTTTTACACGGTTTTTTGCGATTTACACGGTACGTATTTAACGATTTCTCGACAACGATAAAACCTTTCGACTTGATTCCAATCACATTATCCGTTTCAAACTATAGGTAATTGAATGGCATACTTTAAAAAAATCACAATTTTTGGTGTAAATACAGATTTTTTTTTAAATTTGTCTACATGGACCATAGCATGCTATAATTACAAATGGCATTAAAATCTGATTTTTTAAAAATATTTAAGCATGTGAGAAATTAAAATCTAGTAGATTTTTTTTTAACACGGTGCATATCCCCCGTAAAAAAGACCTGCGTGTACAGTACCAAATTAAAATGTCATATGACAGGCTCTGTCACACGACACTGTCGCCGAAGACCGTCACCAATGTATGTATTTTAGTTTTTCTAATAATAAAAGCTGCTTATGTTGTGCTTGCTGAATTCTGAAAATAGCAAGCAATGCTGTCTTAGTAATAACATTTCTGATCAGAAATGGTTTAATTTACACCAAATTGAGGAATTAGAATGAAATCACACATGTCATATGATAGTTATTTGAAGATTTTCTTTTTGCTCGAATGTTATTCTACCGTTTGTGATGTATGAGGGAGACGACGTTAGAGCATGAGTGTACGAATACAAACGGACTGTCACGTACGAAAACGAAGCGAGTGTAGTAAAAAAACGTCAACCCTTTCAACCCCTGGGCCTGTCTTCAGCACCTTGGCAACCTTCCAGAATGGTCTGGAACGGTCGTCCAGGTTCTGAACGAGCCGCCCGAAACTCTCGTTCCGGATTGAGACCATTCTGGAAGCGATCTGCCGATTCAGATCGACCATTTCGTATTTACGCTGCAGATCCCCAGTCCGCTGGAACTGGCGTCTACGAACATTTCTGAGCCGAATCAAGAGTTTGGTGTGGGAATCAATTGCTTGAAACTTACCCCTCACAGGAACTCGTCGAACGCACTCTTCGTCAGCCACGGATATGGCTTGATGGAGACCCTCCAGGGTCTCCAGGGGGGTCGATGTCCTCCACTGTGTCGAACGGTGGGTTTTCGACGATGTGGCGGTCGACCACGCGCCGAAAATGGACCCAGTTCACTCGACGGTAGTCCTTCCGCAGGCACGGTGCAGGGGCCACGTTGCAGCCCAGCTCGGTCAGCACCGGTTGGTGGTCCGAACTCAGGTCGTTGACGGCAACCGGCTTGGCTAATCCAGTGTTTGCCAAGAACAGGTCCAGCGTCGTGGAGGCGTGACCTAGGGATATCGAGTGAAGGGGAGTTGGCCTGCATTTCTCAATGAATCTCAATCCAAAACCAGTAAAATGACCTCTACGAGCTTAGGTAGCTCGTTTTTATACCTCCGTGCTGTGTCAGAATTTCCCCTCACTAAGCATGAGATTTTGTTCGCATCTCTCTATTATCACTTCTGCAACGCTCCACTCTTATTTAGTTTAACTCAAATTGAGTGTTTCATTACTTGACTCACCTCTCAAGTTTTTATTTATTTCATTATTATTATTCCACACCAACTCTATCTACCACACAGAGGATGATAGGAAATTGAACTAACATTAATTGTAATACATTTTTGGTTTGCGTGTACGTGTGGAGTTCATTTCATACTGGCAGCAATCATTCATTTGTGCATTGATTCAGACCAAGTGCCTCAGACAGCTTTCTTAGCTTAAGGACATGGTGATACCAAACCGGAGCTGGCGTGAGTCAGTTTTACTCATTCGTAGGGAGAAATTTCTAAAAGTGTACACGCCCGTCGAAAGTAAATCAGAGACTGAGTCAAGTTGGCTCACTAGATTTGTTCCCGTACTTACTTTGTTGCTTTTGCTGTAGGTTGCTGTTGCTTTCTGTAAGTTGCTGTAAGAAAAACATTTGGTACAGGAAGTATGAGAACATGCTTTTGCTTTTTTAGTCTTACAGAAAAGCAAGTTCGGGATCCTGATGAATGTGGGCGTCTTAGTGGAATACCTGTATGATGAGAGAGAGAAGGATTAGTATTTTCCATTTAATTCCACTACTTTATTTGCTTATCCTTGACAGATACGCGTATTTCGTCTACAATGTGCAGACTTCTTCAGTGTCTTGTACTAATACTCGACTGAAGAAAAACATCGCATTTACCGAATATATATTAACACAGGTACATTTTCACTTAGAAACTAGGTAAACTTAAATTTAATTTTCTATAGGAACAGGTACTCCGCTGCTTACTCGTTGATGTGTCCTAGGTAGTAACTTGAAAAGCCATGTGTGTCCGTTTCCTTGATCCCTGTTGAGTAAAGTTGAATTACGTTGTTTGTTGATCTCGAGGTTTTCTGCAACATCCAATTTCCATGGTGTAGATACGGTTCGTAAAATCGTTATGTCCTCCGTCGATAGTTGGTGATCCTCTGTGAAGATGTGTTCTGCAACCTTTGATTTGAAATCATATGTTAGGCCTTTTTCTTCTTGCTTTTTGGCCTTATTAACCTCCGCTATATGTTCTTTAAATCTAGTTGCTAAAGTTCTCTTGGTTTGTCCTACATATACTTTGTTACAATGATTACAGCTTATTTTATATACACCTGCTTTACCTAAAACATTAACTGGGTCTTTAGTGGATCCTAACAATGATTTCAACTGGTTATGTCTACTGGTGAAAACTAAATCTAATCCGAATTGTTTTAACTGTGGTCTTAGTTTACAAGTAATATCTTGATCAAATGGAACGGACACTCGTTTCAATGGTTCAGGTGCTGTGGTAAGGGTTGTAAATAATCTCCTTTGTAGAATTCTCGCTTTTTTATCGATGATTGCCTGGATTGTGGTCTCCTTGTATCCGTTGAGTCTTGCTGTTTCAAAGATGTACTGTAATTCCTTAACCTTTCCTGTATCGCTGAGTGGAAGAGTCTGCATTCGGTGAATCATGTGGTGAAAGGCGGCCATTTTCTGCTGGAACGAATGGTTGGAAGTATAGGGGATAACTCTTTTGGTGCTTGTTGGTTTCCTGTAAATTTCGTATTCAAGCGAGGAAGATGATGACGATTCCCTGATGACTAGAAGATCGAGAAATGCGAGTTTCCCGTCTTTTTCTACCTCGTGAGTGAATTTGATATCCTTATGAATTCTGTTGATCTCATCTAAAATTTGTGGAAGGGCTTCCCGTTTTACTACGCTGAAGATATCGTCAACAAACCTCCACCAACGGTTTGGTAATAGTACTTTCTCCTTCAGGATTGTCTCCAAGTTGGCCATGAAAAGTTCACATAAGAAGGGGGATAAGGGGTTTCCCATTGGGGCTCCTTTCGTCTGCTTGTAGAAGTTACCTCGGAAAGAGAAGTAGTTCTCTTCCATACAAAGGCGGGTCAGCTTAAGGTACGTCCGAACCTTGTTTCTCCATGCTGCATCATCTCGTTGTGTTAATAGCCAGTCCTCCAAATGGTTGATCGCTTCCTTGACCGGTACGCTGGGAAAAAGAGCTGTGACGTCGAAAGATACCATAATCTCGTCCTCGTTGATGTCTCCTGAAGATTGTAGTTGCTGGGTGAACTCCTGGGTGTTACTAACTGCTTTACTCTGGAACTGATTCGGCATACTCTGGAACTCTTTGACTAGCCACTTCGCTAGTTTGTGGGTGGGGGAACCAACTGCAGACACGATCTCTCGCATTTCATTTCCTGGTTTGTGGACTTTGGGAAGACCTTTGATCCTGGGTAGAATGGGATTGGGTTCCCGTATACGACCTGCTCCATCTCCTAATATCGATTTGCACTCCTTCAGTGCTTTCTCCACGCGTTTCACTATGTTCTGTAAGGGGTCTACTCGAAGCTGTCTATACGGTCCGTTGTTAATCTTCGTTGTCATTTGATTATCGTAATCGTCCTTGTCCATGATAACGACCGCGTTTCCCTTGTCTGCCTTTACGTAGTATACTGCTTTACTTTTTAGCTCCTTTACAATCCGAATTTCTTTTTCGTTGGCGCGTCCGTCCTGTCCGTCCTTGATTATGTTCGATGTGATAGTCCTAACCGTATTCTGTGATGTTGTTGGAAGCGTCTTGGTAATCGCTGTTTCTACGTCAATGATGATCTGCTCCACGTCTGGCTTGGTTGTAACCGCGTATCCTAGCCCCTTGTTGAGGTGTGTCAATTGTTCTTCCGTGAATGCGGTCGTCGATCGGTTGACAACCAACCCATCAATGGAGTGAACCCTCGGCGTCGTGGTGATGGTTGATGGGATCTGCTCACCCGTTCGGTGTGTCGTCCGTCTCCGTTGAGAATTCTACAAAGGAGATTATTTACAACCCTCACCACAGCACCTGAACCATTGAAACGAGTGTCCGTTCCATTTGATCAAAATATTACTTGTAAACTAAGACCACAGTTAAAACAATTCGGATTAGATTTAGTTTTCACCAGTAGACATAACCAGTTGAAATCATTGTTAGGATCCACTAAAGACCCAGTTAATGTTTTAGGTAAAGCAGGTGTATATAAAATAAGCTGTAATCATTGTAACAAAGTATATGTAGGACAAACCAAGAGAACTTTAGCAACTAGATTTAAAGAACATATAGCGGAGGTTAATAAGGCCAAAAAGCAAGAAGAAAAAGGCCTAACATATGATTTCAAATCAAAGGTTGCAGAACACATCTTCACAGAGGATCACCAACTATCGACGGAGGACATAACGATTTTACGAACCGTATCCACACCATGGAAATTGGATGTTGCAGAAAGCCTCGAGATCAACAAACAACGTAATTCAACTTTACTCAACAGGGATCAAGGAAACGGACACACATGGCTTTTCAAGTTACTACCTAGGACACATCAACGAGTAAGCAGCGGAGTACCTGTTCCTATAGAAAATTAAATTTAAGTTTACCTAGTTTCTAAGTGAAAATGTACCTGTGTTAATATATATTCGGTAAATGCGATGTTTTTCTTCAGTCGAGTATTAGTACAAGACACTGAAGAAGTCTGCACATTGTAGACGAAATACGCGTATCTGTCAAGGATAAGCAAATAAAGTAGTGGAATTAAATGGAAAATACTAATCCTTCTCTCTCTCATAAGCTCGGGATTTTAAATTAGTTCTATACATTAGGAACAACAACAAACATTTGACATCACGAAAAGCGTAAAAGAATAATACCTGGATAACCTAAAATTATAAGAAAGTTCAAAGTTCAGAAGCTAACAATATACTTACTATCTATAGGTTCTGGCAACATTTGCATTGTAAATTGTTTAGCATAAGATTTATAAATTTTGGGCATTAAAACTTTCACTATAGGGTGTCCTAGAATGTCTAACCACGATATAAAAAAAAACGATAATGTAATTCGCAAATTGGTATTTCGTTTTCATGTTCTCTATAGAATTCTCTTACAGTTAAACGTAGAAAATCCGAGATCCAATCAGTCGTAAGCCAAGGAGCGGATTTTTGATCTCACGCTACTCATTAGCTTCAGCACAGATGCCTTTCCAACAATTTTGGATATTTTTTTCAAGTCTTTCGCAAACTTTGTAAAGGAATCTGCTGCCTTTACATGTTTCCGCAAATATGCTTTGGTTAGGGTCCAAAAAGTTTCCATTGGCCTGGCCTGGGGAAAGTTTGGCGGATGCATCTTTTGGGTACGAATTGAACCATGTTGGATTTATATCAGGCTACCTTGTCCTTGAAGTAGTGAACCGACGCCAAATCCGGCCAAAACAGTGCGGATCATGGAAAACAGACGCTCATTTAAACACTCACGCACGTAAATATCGGTTGTCATTGTATCCGTTGTCACAAACGGTTTGGAAAGCATACCACCGGCCATCAGCATCACAAACGGTGTAGAACTTATCACGAATTTAACGTATGATTCTTCGTCCATAATCACGCACACCGATTTTCCGCACAGCAATTGGTCGTATAACTTCCGAGCCCTCTGTTTGACGGATGCGGCTTGTTTTTCACTCCGCTCTGGCTTCTTCTGTTTCTTATACGTCTTTAGACCCATTCTTGCCTTGGCCCGCTGGACGTTACTCTTCGCGGATCCCACTTTTTTAGCCACGTCTCGAACCGAAGCACTTTTCTTGCAAGTGAAAGCTTGCACGATTTTCCGCTCCAGGTTTCTGTTTTTTTCTCTTTATTTTAGTTAGGCTAGTTCTTCTCTTTGCAGGAAAGATATCAGTGGTATAAGGCCTGCCTTGGGGAAAAAAAAACACAGTTGGAATTTACAGAATTTTGGTTGGACGACATTTAAAATTTGGGAAACACAGAAAAACAAACTAGACCATTGACATTGAGTCAACTTATTGACTAAAGGGTGATACGGTCAAAATTTGGTCAAGGGAAAACGCGTGTAAATCGGTGAAATCGTTTATTTAAAAAATCAAATTAAATTTCTTTTTCAAGTTCAATTAGTATAAAATTCAGGAAAAATATTCAGTTAGGCTTCCGCTTTTCCAAATCCGAATTGCCGGGCCTTACGCTTGACCCCTGCCATAAGATTTTGTACAGCCACCTTGTCCACCTTCTTCGCCGCAGAAAGCCAGTTTGCCTTGAACTGCTGCTCGCCCTTAGCAGTTTTTTTGGTCTTCTTTAGGTTCCGCTTGACAATAGCCCAGTATTTCTCAATTGGGCGGAGCTTTGGCGTGTTGGGAGGGTTCTTGTCCTTGGGAACCACCTGCACGTTGTTGGCGGCGTACCACTCCATGGCCTTTTTACCGTAATGGCAAGATGCCAAATCCGGCCAAAACAGTACGGAACAACCGTGTTTCTTCAGGAAAGGCAGCAGACGTCCGCATCCGGTAGAGATGCCCCGCCGGCCGAAAGGAATGAATCAAACATTGAAAAACAATCCAGTGTCCTTCAGGAAGTAGATCAGGGTAGCCAGGATCGAAGGTTCGTCGCCCAGTATGTCGCCGATATTCCCCGAAAGGCCGTAGTGTTGCCGCACGAGCTCGTACTTTGGACACACGCAGAGGATATGCTCGACGGTGGCTGGAATATTACAGACGACGCAGGTCTTGCGGAAAACTCCTCCACCGAAATCGTGTGAGAGCCGGGTGTGACCTGTGTGAAACCTGAAGATAACTCGTTGCTACTTCAGGTTCCCAAGGTCCTCACATGGAATCTTGCTCTCCTTGATTTTTCAAAGAAGCGGTGTTTGGTTTGCCAACCATTCTTCTTGCCACTTAGCCTGCATGGAAGTTTCGACCCATCGCTTGATGTCCGGAAGGGGAACTTCATCGGTGTACCTGGCACCAGATGTTCCCGCCCCGGCCAGTCTGCCAGCGTTGGAGCTGCCAGTGATGCCACAATGCCCCGGAACCCAAGCGAATACTGTGTTGGGAGGGTATGTCTGATGATCCCCTGAATCCACGGATGAGTGTTGGACCGGAGAGCAGAAATTACACTGTGTGAATCAGTGAAGATTAGGATCGGATGGTGTGATCGTCCATCCCAACGCCTTTGTGCAATTTGGACCCATCCGTAAAACGCTGCGTATGCCTGGGGTACCCGGAGTTTAGCATGTCCGCGACGGAATGTCTGAGCGCCGCCGAGTTGTATCCTGCCCTAAACTCAACACGGTTCGGTTTACGTCCAGATTTTTGCTTGTCCTGGAAAGTTGCTTCATCACCATACTTCCGAATCGCGTTTCGAACGACTCCGATGCTTACACCTTCCAATTTCGCTAATTGACTCAGTGAAATGTTGGGGATAGTATACCATTTGTGTACGATCTGTTTACGCTTTTCCGGAGAAATGCTTCGCGTTGTCACGGAAATGTAAAGAACCGACATTTGTGGTACACAAAACTGTTGGTCGAAATGTAAACAATGGTTCAGCATGATAATCAACTGTTTAAACGTCATCTGAAGCAAGCAGAGGTGTTCCAAAGTCGTGCTTAGACATTCTGGGACGCCCTATATGTAGGCGTGTGTGCAAATTTTGTTTGCTTCAGTGATTCGTAATCCAGTATCAGGTAACGAGTTCGCACCACGAGAAGAGGTCCCGGACGATTCTGCTGTCAAAAAATGTGAAGAAAGTTTCATTTTTATGGAGATCGTTGCTCACCAGATGGTCTTTGAAACAATTTCTGAGTAACCTGAGTATCGTTGGTGAACATCTGAGAGAAAGTGATTTAAATTTTTGGGCCTGAGCTTTCGCAAGGCTAGTTTTGGTGTAAAAATGCAATTCCCCCTGTTCTCCCGGGGGTATCCTGTGGCTCCAAAAGCGGTCAATGTGGTCAATGGCCCTTTTGAAGTTTATGGAAAGTTAATTCATGAAAAAAATATGAAGAAAGAGCTGTCGTATGGCGTGTTTGGGTGTTGTCCTGCTACAGGTTTCCCCAATTGTTTCCTTGTGGTTCCGAGAGCATTACATGTGGTCAAAGTTCCATTTAAAGCCGGGGACCAACGGCTTTACTTCCCGAAGGCGTGATCAAAGGCTGTACGAATGAAGGCGTGATCAGAGACGTTATGCCTCAGAACATCCCGACGGCGCCGACTGGGATTGAACCCAGGCCTGCTGGGGTAAGAGGTAATCACGCTTACCACTACACCACCAGCACCGATAATTTTACGAAGCTTTATTCATAAATTTAGAATTTTCGAAGTAAATACGTGATGTCCGAAAAAATCTGATATCTTCATCTAAAATTTTCCGGGACAATTAATAACCAAAATTTGTGAAATTTTGTTTCATTCATATAACCATAAACTCCACTTGTTGGCAAAGTTTCATGAAATTCTGAGACCCTTTGGTCCATTTAGCTTAGTAATAAAAATAAATCCCCACTGCTGAAAGGGTACTGGCCTCTGGAATATTTTTTTGAAAAAGCTGAGAAGACCCAACAAAGTGGCTTGACGTTAACAACAGCTTTTTAAAGTTATAAGTTGTTAGTTGAGTAAGTTAATAGTTGAGAAAGTAACTTTTCCAACGGTCTAAAACCGTTATAAATTGCATAGATAGAATCCGCGATACATCATTTTGAAAAAAAAAAAACTACTAGGGACAGCCCTATGGGCTTGTACATGACCTTTTATAATAAATGTTATTTGTTAATTGTTAATTGCAGCAGGAGCTTATGTTTTGTGTAGGAATATTTATACTCCTTCGTATGATGCGCTTGACATAGATCGCCCACAGCCACTCACGAAGAGCTACTGATTCCGATCAATAGCGGTGCGGCTTCTTCCTCCTTCTATCGATGCTCATGTGGGCTGCACCTCACTGCTTGCAGGCAGCCTTTCGTTGTGTCCTGGAGAAC